ACTCCAAGGAAGAAAGACAAGGTGCAAAATGAACACTCAATCCCTTCAGGAGCCCTCCAAACAAACCCTTCTCCAAACAACATTCAAGGATCATCTACCCTGAAAATGTTGAAGAAAATTGGAACAAACTGAAGACCTCCATCATCACAGCCCACAGTCCATTGAATATCAAACTAAGAAACATCAAAATTGGCTTGATGAAAATGACAAAGAGATCCAACAGTTAATTGATAAGAAAAAAGAAAGCCTTCCAAACATGGTAGAGAGACACCAACTGTGCTGCTAAGAAAAAGATCTATGCTAGTGCCAAAGCTGGGGTCCAAAGAAGGACCAGAGAACTCTTGAACATCTGGTGGACAAAGAAGACTGAAGAAATCCAATACTTTGCAGTTACCCATGATGCTAAAGATTTTTTTAAAGCCACAAAGGTCATCTATGGACTAAAAAACTATGACATATACACTTTACTCAAATGGAATCAAACTTCTGAAAGACAAAAAATTAATTGCACTATGTTGGAAAGAGCACTAACAAAATTTCCTTAATCGCAGCTCCAATGTGGCTGAAGAGGCTCTCTCAGAAATCCCACAACAGCAAACCAGGGATGAGCTTGCAGCACTTCCTAGTTTAGAAGAAGTCATCGATGCCATCAGCCAACAAAAAATAACCAAGCCAGTGGACCTGATGGTGGACCTGAACTGACACAACAATTCCATCTGCTCATTGAAAAAATGTGGGAAAATCAGATGATGAGAAAATTCCAGCACTTCAAGGATGTCACTGTCATCACCCTTTTCAAAAAGGGGGAAAGAACAGACTGCAGAAACAATCGAGATATCTCCCTTCTAACCTCTGCTGGAAAAATCCTAGTAAAAATCACCTTCAACCTGTCTCAGAAGACATCCTTCCAGAATTTCAGAATGACTTCCACCCCTCCAGAGGAAGAGTGGACATGATCTTCACTGCACAACAGTTCCAAGAAAAATGCAGGGAACAAAATCAGCCTCCGTACATGGCATTTATTGACCTTGCAATGGCATTAGACACAGTGAATCACAGTGATCTCTGGACTATTCTCCAAAAAATCGGGTGCCCTGACAAATCTGTGAACATCTTGAGGCTCCTCCACGATGACATGATGGCAACAGTCTTGGACAGCAATGGCTCCCAGAGTGGCCAATTTAAGGTGGAATCAGGTGTCAAACAGGAGTTTGTTATTGACTCAACCTTATTTTCCATCTTCATCACTATGATACTTCATCTTATTAATGGGAAGCTTTCCACCGGAGTGGAAATCTTCTATCAGACAGATGGCAAGCTCTTTAACCTCAGCAGACTGAAAGCCAAAACCAAAGTCACAACAACATCTGTTATAGAACTCCAGTATGCTGAATCATAGAATCATAGAATCAAAGAGTTGGCCTCATGGGCCATCCAGTCCAACCCCCTGCCAAGAAGCAGGAATATTGCATTCAAATCATCCCTGACAGATGGCCATCCAGCATCTGTTTAAAAGCTTCCAAAGAAGGAGCCTCCACCACACTCCGGGGCAGAGAGTTCCACTGCTGAATGGCTCTCACAGTCAGGAAGTTCTTCCTCATGTTCAGATGGAATCTCCTCTCTTGTAGTTTGAAGCCATTGTTCTGCGTCCAAGTCTCCAAGGAAGCAGAAAACAAGCTTGCTCCCTCCTCCCTGTGGCTTCCTTTCACATATTTATACATGGCTATCATATCTCCTCTCAGCCTTCTCTTCTTCAGGCTAAACATGCCCAGCTCCTTAAACCGCTCCTCATAGGGCTTGTTCTCCAGGCCCTTGATCATTTTAGTCACCCTCCTCTGGATACATTCCAGCTTGTCAATATCTCTCTTCAATTGTGGTGCCTAGAATTGGACAGAATATTCCAGGTGTGGTCTAACCAAAGCGGAATAGAGGGGTAGCATTACTTCCCTAGATTTAGACACTATGC